AATGTAGCTCGGTAAAACCTTTCACTGCTTTCTATTGTAATAAAACACGAAGTATATGAAATAAAGAAGCAAAGAAGTTGATTTTTGTGATAGAGCAACTATGAAGGTTTTATTGTTATTCATTCGTTACCTTTGTTGTAATTCTAAATGTCATCATGGCATGTACAAAGTAAGCACAAATGTTGTATGCATGAAAAAATAATATGAATGAGTCAAATATCAAAACATGAAGCTAGTATATTTATTGGTCAATTGGCAGTGTTGTTATATAATTCATCGTGAATATCCCACATGATTCAGATATCATTCCTTTTGTAAATTCTTCTGTTTACCCATTTAATACAATGTTCCTGTAGCTTGGTTAGCAGTTAGATCATTTTAATGTATAATTCTTAATATAAAAGATTTGGTTTTAAATTACCTGTGTATTTTGTAATGGGGAAGGATGAATGTGTATGGGTGAAGGATGAATGTGTATAAATGCTCATCTTTGCAAATTAAGTGTCTTGCCACATATATATATATAGCTTAGTTTTTCTAAAATTACCCTTGTTTTAGAAGTAAGACGACCGTGTGAACAAAATAATGCTTGCTTTAGTTCTTTGCATGTCACATACTCAACAAACGGATGAGAGATTTAATATAAACAACGCGACCACATACATATCAGTTAAAAATGGTGATCATTATTCATACCTTATTGTTACATCAATCTTTCATCCATGTAAGTTTTGTTACATAAACACATTTCAATAGCGAACGAAAATGAAGAGTGAGCTCAATACAATTAACAACATTTTGTTAGACACACATCAATTAGTCAAAAGTGGCGTCGGCAAAAAATGGAGGTGACACTTGATTCAACATGCTACCCCCCCTACATAAATTTTCACAGATTCCCATATTTTCCATGGAAAAGTGTGCTGTTTTGATCTCTCCCATACCTTTGAACAGGTTTTGCTTTCTTTTACCATGCAGTATATTGTCAATAGTTAGAAAGTTGGTATATCAATTTAGATATGATTTCTCATGCATGTTTAGCCATACTTTATCAAGATGCTGCTTTAGCTAATTTGTTATGTCTGTAGTGTAGTTCTAAAATATCGCTAAATTTTTCTAAAATTACCTTCATTTTAGAAGTAAGACCGTGTGAACAAAATTATGCTTGCTTTAGTTCTTTACATGTCACATAGTCAACAAACGGATGAGAGATTTAATATAAACAACGCGACTACATACATATCAGTCGGAAAATGGTGATTATAATTCATACCTTATTGTTACATCAATCTTTTATCCATGTAAGTTTTGTTACATAAAGAGTGTTACATGAAGAGTGAGTCAATATCTCCTTCATCAAACAGTATAATAAAACATTAATGACGTCTATGTAGAACATTCTAGTTATATAAGTAGGTATACATCACTGACTAAAAACAACTGCTATAGAAATAAAAATACATAAATAAGAACCTCATGCAGAGTACATAATAACATTGAGATTAGTCAAATTCCCAAGGACTAGTGTTAAATCTTATAAAGTTCCCCAAGTTTTAACTCAGGAATAGAGAATCACCTATCTAAGACGGGATATGAATGCCAAAGGTTAAGACACGATTTTCGAAACTGTGAATGGATTTTTTCCCTTCATTAATCAAGAATTCCATACATGTATATTCTTGCACAAATCAGTTCGTATTATAAAAAATCTTTGTTATTGACTAAACCATTGTAAATTATGAATACATGGGCAAACATCAACTGCACGCAATTATATTTGCGTATGATAAATGAAGACACTGTAGATACAACAGTTACAACAGTAAGTTGTAATAAAAGTATATTTAAAACTGTTAAAACAAACATGATCAAAAGTGAAATTTTAAAAGCTCACTGTGTTACATGAATCCACATTTCACAAAAATAGAATCGGTTGCGTTCTTTCTCTGTGTAAAAACATTTTTCCTATTTTTAACATTTGCTTATTTTACAAATGTTCTTACTTTAAAAATGAATGGTTTGCTCTATACAATTAACAACATCTTGTTAGAGAAACAGAGATTAGTCAAAAGTGGCGTCGGTAAAAAATGGAGGTGATACTTGATTGGACATGCTACCCCCACTACATAAATTTTCACAGATTCCCATTTTTTCCATGGAAAAGTGTGCTATTTGACCTCTCCCATACCTTTGAACAGGTTTTGCTTTCCATTACCATGCAGTATTTAGTCAATAGTTAGAAAGTTGGTATATCAATTTAGATATGATTTCTCATTCATGTTTAGTCATACTTTATCGAGATGCTGCTTTAGCTAATTTGTTATGTCGGTAATGTGGTTCTAAAATATCGCTTAATTTTTCTAAATTTACCTTCGTTTTAGAAGTAAGAAGATTGTGTAAACAAAATTATGCTTGATTTAGTTCTTTACATGTCACATACTCAACAAACGGATAAGAGATTTAAGATAAACCGCGCGACCACATACATTTCAGTCGAAAATGGTGATCATAATTCATACCTTATTGTTACATCAATCTTTTATCCATGTAAGTTTTATTACATAAGCACATTTAAATAGCAAGCGAAAATAAAGAGTGAATCAACATCTACTTCATCAAACAGTATAATAAAACATTAATGATGTCTATGTAGAACATTCTAGTTATATAACTAAGTATACATCACTCACTAAAAACCATTGTTATAGAAATAAAAATACATAAATAAGAACCTCATGCAGAGTACGTAATAACATTGAGATTAGTCAAATTCCCAAGGACTAGTGTTAAATCTTATAAAGTTCCCCAAGTTTTAACTTAGGAACAGAGAATCACCTATCTAAGACAGGATATGAATGCCAATGGTTAAGACACGATTTTCGAAACTGTGAATGGATTTTTTCCCTTCATTAATCAAGAATTCCATACATGTATATTCTTGCACAAATCAGTTCGTATTATAAAAAAATCTTTGTTATTGAATAAACCATTGTAAATTATGAATACATGGGCAAACATCAACTGCACGCAATTATATTTACGTATGATAAATGAAGACACTGTAGATACAACAGTTACAACAGTAAGTTGTAATAAAAGTATATCTTAAAACTGTTAAAACAAACATGATCAAAAGTGAAATTTTAAAAGCTCACTGTGTTACATGAATCCACATTTCACAAAAATAGAATCGGTTGCGTTCTTTCTCTGTGTAAATACATTTTTCCTATTTTTAACCTTTGCTTATTTTACAAATGTTCTTACTTTAAAAATGAATGATTTGCTCAATACAATTAACAACATCTTGTTAGACAAACATAGATTAGTCAAAAGTGGCGTCGGTAAAAAAGAGAGGTGATGCATGATTGGACATGCTATTCCCCCCACATAAATTTTCACAGATTCCCATTTTTTCCGTGGAAAAGTGTGCTATTTGACCTCTCCATACCTTTGAACAGGTTTTGCTTTCCATTACCATGCAGCTTATTGTCAATAATTAGAATGTAAATGGTTTGATTCCGGGAGTATCGTTACATGTTTTGTTGATCGTCCAGGTTGGTATAGTCCTGAGAAGGACTGTTTTTGTTGTTGATGACTGAAGTTTCCACAATCTTAACGGTAGTCATCTTCAGAATCAAATGAGGAGTAAATGTCAGGTTAGCCGTGTTTATTATCTGGTTCTTACGTCATTGTATTGTGTGTACATGAAATGTGTATTGTCATTGTGAATTTGTATGAAGTGAAATATTTTTATTTTTAGTTGTGATGTGTGATTTAGGTGTGATGTTTTTAGTTGTAATGTGTGGGTGTCAATTGTCCACATACAATTTACCAAAGATGTCGAAGAAAACAGAACTCTTCTTTTTCTCGAATGTTTGGTAAAACATGACAATCAAAAACTACGAACAACAGTTTATCGCAAGCCAACACCTACTGACCGACTACTAGACCAATCATCTTACAACCCTACATCACACAAAGCCACCACAATCAGAACATTAACAAGACGTGCACAAATCATATGTGAGTTCCCGGACGCTCTACACAACGAAAACAACTATCTCAAACGTGTTTTTGACAAAACCAACTATAACTCTGACTTTATCAAACGCAACACTTACAAACACAACAAACCCAACGAAACGAACAACTCAGTGACAACAGCAACGATACCTTACATCAAAGGTACGTCTGAGACTATCTCGCGTATCTTACGACCATACAACATACGTGTCGCACATAAACCAATCACAACGTTCCGACAAGGACTAAGGAACATAAAGGACAAATTACAACCAAACGAACGACAAGGTGCAGTTTACAAAGTAAACTGCTCCGATTGCCACGCTTCCTATATCGGGGAAACTGGCAGGAACTTAAACAGAAGACTTACTGAACACAAACGAGCTACTAAGAAACAAGACAAAACTAATCACATTGCGAACATCACCGAATCACAAAGCACAACATTGACTGGGATTCGGCAAAATGCATTACTTACAGTACTGTTTATAGACAACGGCTTACAATAAAAATTGGTATACCAACTTGAAACAAACCCCCCTGAACAGATCACAGCAATTACCGGCACCTTACAAACGACTTATTCACAATACAAGCAAACGATCACCTAAAAACATTACACTTCACACTAATTCACAATGACAATACACAATTGACACCCACACATTACAACTAAAAATATCACACCTAAATCACACATCACAACTAAAAACATTTCACTTGACACTAATTCACGATGACAATACACATTTGTTAAATGTAGATATAATCTTCGCACTTTGTTGGACAATTTAAGCAATTGTCTCATGAACCTGAAAAATTCAGGTGACTCAACGGGGTTCAAATCCCGTTGAATACAAATTTGTGTTGGCTAACATGTTTTGGCTAATTACTCGTTATTTTCGCTTCCTTTCTTCAAATTTATTCTGACGGTGTTTTTTCCGAATAGTATACTTTTTGTGTATCAAATGGCAAACATCCTTGTCAATCCAAGGAGGAGTATTTTTGTCCGTAATGGTTTTAGTAGGAAAATGATCTTTGATTGCTGCAAGAAATAGGTCTTTCCATGCTGACCAATGATCATTGATATCATCAGTGACACACAAATTGAATGGAGTATGAGAAAGAGTAGAACGAAGGCCTTCAAAATCGCCATTTTTGTAATCAAAAACTCGACGCTTTACAGGTTTAAACCTGCGAAACTCTAACTTTAAAGTTAGAAGTATGTTGACATTGCAATTTTAGTGGGGTGTCGATTTTAGGATTTTCGTCCGGATTGAAGAATTGGTACATGTACCATGGTGTTTGTCGTGGTAACAATCTCGCAAATGAATTCGACAATGTTTCCCAATGGAACACCAATTGGCTCAATATACAATATTCAGAATGGAAACTTTAGAGCTTGTGGTCAATTGGCTGCTTTTTCAATTGCTCAAAGAAGTCCCCACTATGCATTTTGGACAAAAGTGCTTACAACTTGATGCTAATCCTAGTATCCTAATCTAATCCCAATCTCGACAGCAGCCTGGAAAGTCAGAATGTAGTAAGATGAAGTCATCTTTGCAGTTCTTCTTAGTCATTCCTTCATCTATAGTATTTAACAGCAGTGATATATCATTGCGGTAGCCAGGATTTTCTCTCAAATGGGAGGAGATAAAAGGGAAGGGGAGCCACAACCGTCGTTGTAATGAATGTAAATAAAACAATATAATTTAGAATTTTGCCAGGGGGCCTGGCTCTCTGTCTAGCTATGTCACCATTGATTGATACAAATGATTTCCTTTGTATTGGATAAGTCATAATTCCCATGTGACGTTTTCTTGAAGAAAATTTTTTTATTGGCCTGTTGGTCCCAGAAAATTGAATATTTTATGCAGCCATGCCTGTAAGCTTGAATAAAGCAGTATAATTTATGCAATTTCTTAAGCAGATGTTACAGTATGCTATATGCAGGAGCAAGCACCTTTAATACTGCAATTTGCATAGAGCTGTACAACAAGTATGGATCTATGACATGGGCTAGCTGAGATTGGTGAATATTTTTTTGAAACTCTACTTTGTATATTAAAATTTTGTAGGGAAAATGCTCAACAGCTTCCCTTTTCTCTATTTGTTTACATTTCTGCATTTTTCATTTAGTATCCGCCATGGCGAACAATTCAACCTGGTAGTGGCCATTGCTTGCGCGAGCAACAATTACGAAACGAAACTCAGTTGAATAAACATCTGGCCCCAAGAGAGTCACAACACGATGCTACACACATTATGTGTGTCCGCCTAAAAGTTTGTCAATCTCGGGTTCTTTAACGCAGACCGCATGGAGTAGTTATATTATGATGCATTTCACTACATATGGCCCTTAGAGAGTTAAGTACAAGTTACGGTTGATAGAAAATATACAACACTAACAGGGACCTGTTATGACTCACATACCAGCAGTTTTTCTCAAGAAATCCCATGTCTGAAAATAGTGACATTTAAAACGGTACGAATCTTACCTAGTTAGAATAGACGAACTTAGTAGCTTTATAAAAGCAACAAAAATCACTTTGGCAATATTGCCAGTATATTTTTGAACGCTTTGTTAGTCATTTTATCAGACATCAGAAACCAAACAATTAAAAAAATTGTTCTTTGAACAAACGCCTCTACTTATATATGGCAAAATTTGTGTAAATCAGACGTACCTGTGTCGAGAGGAGTGAAGAGCTTGTTCAAATCAGAAATTTGTCAATATACCGTAAAACGTCTTGAGAAAAGTGATGCTATCTGTTTCAATGCGATTACTTTTAAAATTTTTGAAGCTCCTTATCATAGCAGATCTAGAGTCACAGTCAAACAATGCAGGTTGCTAAGATAGAAGGAATGTTGATAAAATTGAACGAATCTTATTCGTTGGCAAGTAATTAGTTATGCTACTAGCAACTGTTGCTACCAAGAAAAATATTTAATTACAAACAGTGGATTTCAGCAAATGGACAGCTGTTTTTACATTTGTAGTTCACCCATTTGATCTAAACTCTCCGAAATTATGTCTTCTCATTTGTATTTAGCATTTCCTTGACATATAGAACTGGATATCGTATAACACTTAAATAGTCTGCATGTGAAAAATGTCAAGCCACGATGAAATGTTTACACATATAAATTATTCGTGAAGACAGGAGCACTACATGCGGTCGTTTCTACCAGAACTTGCTAATGCAAGCCTGAAAATTCAACTAGCAATCTTATATTCTATAATAATAAATTACGTCAAAATGGTTTCCATCTTAGTTTTCAGTGTGTTCTCCTCGAAACACTCCTTATTCATTTCACTTTAATATAACAGTGGAAGAAATACATCAAGTTCGTATTCTTTTCTTCCCCGAATGACAACTGACAACTTTAATTTTCATTATATAAAATAAAAGCAATAAAACGCCTGCGTTGATTGGTTGATAGCTGAGCATCATCAATTTAATCAATCAAAGAGTATTTGCTAATTAATCATGAATACATGTTAGAGGAAATATTAAAACCTTTGCTTTGAAATTATCTTTATTACATTATTATTATTCTATAAAAGAAATATAAAGACGTTTTTGCCCTGATCTGCTTTCGAGTACTCCAAACGGTCTCATCGGTTTTCATATTTCCACAATAAACATCTTTTATTTCTTAATTGAACATCTGCAAATCTTGCAAAGTACACCGAGTGGAAACATTTGTTTCCTCCTTAGAAACGTACGTCAATTTGAAACCTCCACATCAGCAAACGTGATTATGGCACTTTAATAAGTTGCCACAAAAGGAAAATTCTGCTAATTGAATTGTGTTTTTATTGAATAGTTAACACAAAGGTCTGTCCATAAGCTAAGAGAGGGCGTGAAAGTTAGTGTGGTTAAAACCAAACTTTTCTATCGAATACAAGCACTAAATATGTTGGTCCTAGCTGCTGCAACTCTTTAGACATAAATGACTTGAATATGGAGCCTAAGAGTTTGGACAACTATATATATGATAAAATGGTCGACAGAGACATATAAAACTAATTGGAACCAAAAAGTTAAAAATAAGCATAATCCGTAAAAGGGTATCTTGTATTCTCAAATAGTGTAACCTAGTGTAACTCATAATGTAACCACAAAGTTATAAAACAAGACAATTACGCGGCAATGTTTCGGTTTTATTTAAAAACCATCATCAGAAAGAATGATATATTTACAAGTTGCCCGTTAATTGTACACATATATACAAAGTTTGTATATATATATATGAGAAATTAAGGGCTGTTTACATGATCCCGGGTACTTGGGATTCAGCCAAGCGTTAAATGATTTTGGCAAATGGAAAAGATTTAATACTTATCATCAGATGAATGTTCTTCAGCACTTTTACAATATTCTGATTTAATAACTATACGCATAACATTGAAAATCAAACAAATTTGGCCTTATTTGAGAATTACAACTGGCAGAGGCGTAACTAGAACATTAATTGGAGGTGGGTGTATATTCATATATTCAGTTGTGCCCTGCTGATTTCTTTTGAAATTCAATTCACTTTCCCCCTGACAGTTGAAATACCAAGGCTCTTATATTGGAGCCACTCAGTTAAACCATGGTCATTCAAACTCTAAGGGAAGGTTTTCTTAAAAAATAGTAACCACGAGGTTGATAAATGACAAATTAATCACCTGAAGTTATAATTAATTTATTGATGCGAACTTATATTTTGTAGATTTTCCATTATGTACAGGGTGTATCAAAAAATTTCAATTCAAATTTGGGGTTCAACAACATAGAATATACTTGGAAAAATCTTTTGGTCTATGCACATTTGTTAAGTCTATTTATTTACCTTTCAAAAGACATGTAGTACGAATCTTTCAGTTGTGAAATAAAGTAGTATTTCTTTACAAATAAAATTCATAAAAATCACAATTTTCCGCCAGTGGGAATTCCATTTTTTTTCAAATTTACTACCATAAGGCTTTTAAATGCTAATCATCACTGCAGACCTAATCCAAATTTAACTTCTCCTTGTATCGTATGCTTTACAAACGCAGTGGCTCCAATTAAGAATGGCAGAAGGCACATTTCTTGTGAAAACGTTTTTTGAAACCGGTAGTTTACAAAAAACACGCAATTAGTTCAAACAAAGATATCCAGAACGACAAACTTTGGCCTTCAGTGTCATCTGGTACATTGGTACAACGTGCGTAAATATGAGCAGAATGGAACAAGCCTAAATCGTAATAAAATTATGTAAATTTTATTCGAAAACGAGGTCTTAAATGCTAAATTCATTATCTTTTGTCTTGACGTCCCACTTCAAATTCATTAGCGGAAAAATCTTATTTCAAGCTAAAAGTTTCAACAGAAGACTGCGTGGTTGATTTTGATAGAATCGTCAGTTAAGGTGTATAAACAGAAGCCTAATAGGTTATTCTTTATCACCATGTAAAAATTATAAGCTTCACTCAAGTATACTGTATTGCTTGCCTCCATGATTGTTGCTTGCTGTGCTAAAAATCATGATTTGTGCAAAGAATCAAGATAAGCTTATGGTTAGCTATCACTACTATTAGCTGGTTAACACAGAACTTTGGAACTTGATTTTTTCAATATTTCAATGGTCTTTTCACTCCAATTTCATGTAATTAAATCACCTCTTATAAAATTATCTGATTCATGGTTGTTTTAAACATAAATTAGAATGTAAATTTATTCCGTAGCTTTCAAACTCAACAACATTTACTCAAAATATATAAGTCTTAAATAAGTTATTGCATTTTATGCTATAGATTATTCAAAGAAACAATGCCAGCTAAAGACTTTTACAAACTTTAAATATATGCTTTGCAGTAAACAATTTTTCATAGGTAGCATTTCATTTGAGACAGACTAATTTTTGAGTTATTTCTATGGAAGATCAACGAACATTTTCCTAAATAAGGCGTGGAAGCCACTAGTATTTATTTCTAAGAAAACATTAAATTAATACAAATCGGTTAAAATGAGTTTTCCTGAAATGATGTTATCTCATTTTGAGGAATTTTAAAAAATTTTCAGCTGCATGCATTAGTTCTTTCAACAAACCAATAAAAAACATGTACATTTTTAATACTTATATTTTTGATTAATTGAAAAAAATATTAATTTCATAGACACATAAAAAGACTCTAGGCTGTGCAAATGCATGTCCCTTGCCTAATGCCAGCAACTTTCTTTTGAATTCTTTTGATTTATCATGTGACAGACAGGAAAGGTTCTGTTAATTTAGGATCCATTGCTTCAAGCAAGTCTTGGACAATGGCTCTTGGAACGTTCAGTCCTTCCATTTGCAGACAATGCCATAACCGCTCTGCAGCCCTTGGAATTCTCTGGACCACTAACTAATTCTCTTATTTTTGGCTGCACCATCTGAAATGTATTATCGAAGTTGGGAGAATCTTTGACATGTCGACAATGAAGACCATAATCTTTCAAGCGTCTGAGAAGTGTACTGTAACTCATGTTACAACTGTGGTGCTTCGATAAAAAGCCAAGGATTTCATTGTACTCATAAACACAACAAAAACAGTATTTTATAGTCGCTTCCTCATTGAATTCTTCTCTAAGCTCTTCAGTAGACGACTCACTGTTTTCAGCTTGCGATACTTAAAATATATAAGACTGTTCAAGCAATATTCGAATTTCCTCTCCTGTATAAATGCGGCCCAAAAACATTTTCATTTACTTGAAACTCGTGAGATGTTACCCAACTCTTTTTTTTACATTAGGACAAAAAATTCGAGAAATAAGGATTAGCATTGATTTTAAGGGCATATTCAAATGTGCTTTGCATGTTTATGTCAGAATTTTTTTTGGCAAAAATTATGAAAAAACCCATGAAAGAGGGATGACCACCTTTAAGAGCAAAGCTATAAATGGTACTGTAGCATCTGTGTTGTGTCAGCTGTAGTCTGTGTATTCAATGTATTACTCAATTTTCAGTCATAAGCAAAACATTGTAAATGCAAATTTTAATGTTTCATACGAAGGCAGATATTTGCGCAACTTTTAATTTCACTCAGGAGTTGAGGATCAATTATTTAAGACAGGATTTGATTGTCAATGCTTAGGCAAGATTTTGGAAAAGGCAAATGTTTTTTTCATTTCATTAATAAAAATTCCATACATTACTATGTAATGTGCATAAACTGGTTTAGAATGTCCATTGTCATTTTAAAATATCTCTTCAATAAAAGTACTACTCAGATAGCAAAATTTTTGTTTCATAGGCACTTTAGGAAATTAAACAACTCGCTTTCAAAGAAATGAGTCAGGCACAATTGAATATATGAATAACACACCCTCCCCCACCAATCAACGTTTACCAGGTGGCCGTGACTATGAGATGCATGTGCGGGGTATCAGAAAAATAGTCAGTGACGAAAAACTTTGCTTAATTGATCAGCGCGCAATATTTGTAAAAACTTTAAGTGGAAATAGGCAGTTGGACTTTCAATGTTTAATCTGATAGTTAAGTAAAACTGTTTCAAATAATAACCTTTTTAGAGGTAGGAATATGTTACAGAGAAGTGCTTTTGAAGTAGCTCACGCACAAAAATGACAAAGCTAAATGCAATTGAAACACATAGGATTAAAATATGTCCCACTTTGTTCAAGCAAATAAAGTTTCAGGGAATTTTGCAAAATTGTACAGGAACAATTAGCTTCCAAATCACAGATTATTTTGTTTTCGTTTTTGAATACCTTTTTATAGCTCTCTTCAATTATGTATATAACTTCAGTTTCCAAAAAACCTGAGTCATTATAAACAGAAAAATTGATGATGATTTATGTAAAATGTCATATAAACGGAAAAGCACAAATTAATCTACGATTTGGAAGACGTACTTTCGTGTAAGAATCGTCCAAATTTACTGATGGATACATAGATACATGGATGCACTATATGGTAAAGAAAATCTTTTCTTCAATGTCTGTCTGGGAAAAAAGACAAAAGAAAAATTATATGGAATTAAATCATAGCATAAATGTAAAAATGGAAAATAGCAAGCCACATGAACTTATCGTATAAGGTCTTCACACTTGAGTGCACTGCATCCGCAAAGGGCATGTTGAGCATTAAACTACAATAAAAAAAATTATTCATGAAAATTAATTAGTTGCAAAATCGAGTGAGATAGTCATCTTCAATCTGACAAGTATACATACCATTCAATGTTATATTAATACTGTAATCATCAGGAAAGGTGTGTATATCAGTGCCCAGATAGGGAGGCTAGAGGGTACTATCACTTGCCTAAGGTGAACCCTCAGGCTGGTGGTGGGAAGAAGGTGCCTTACTTCTCCATTCCAGACAGGCTCCAAGCAATGCCTGACCACTGCCCTATCATCTACCAACTTCAATTTATTCATTTTCAGTGGAGCATTGACCTTGAGGATGTCCTTTCATTGGAGCTTTGCATTTAGTACATTTTTATACCAGCTTAAAGTCTTTTGTAAAGATGTAAGTTTTTTCTTAAGACGATGGCACGATTTACATGGAGACTGGGATTCACAAATATCTTCACCAACTGCATGTATTTCTTCTTCAAATGGTGAATCATTTGCTTCCCCAGTGCATACTTCAACATGCTCAGCTCCATCACTATAGGTGGTACTTCCTCATTGAGAGAACATGTTTCCTTCAGCGATGGCTTATGGAGAGTATGTCGAATAATCTACAAAACTTATATCGAATTTATATGACAAAAGAAAAATTAACATAAACAAGCGTAAACTTACTTGTCTGCGCTTTCGATCGGTTATTTCGTCCTGTAATGGTTCAGGAATCCCAGCCACGTCAATGGTTGGGATAGCATCTTTCTTCTACCTTCTTTTGAGCTTGACTTGCACGCTGAAATTAAGGTCAAAACAAGAATCTTCAAAATGCGCAGAACACAGACACGAGGTAGAGGAAGCCTCAAAACCCGGTCTAGGTATACGCACAAAATTTACCCATTTTCTATGTCTTTGCGGCTCTGTTTCTTTTTTAGGAAACAGATGCATCGACATTCCTTCTGTTTTTGAATCATTGGCGCAACTAATTTGATTAGGTCCGCCAGCAACACAGCGTTTTCCTCGCGTTTCTTATTAAGATTACTAGTAGAATACGCCATGTTGATATATGTGTTCAACTTTCTACGTCACAAGTCATTAGCATACCGATCAAAAAGTTCGCAAAAAAAATGCTGAAAATCGTGACTTTGAACGTCCATAAAATCATTTTCACCAATCCAATTTCAAATAAAATTGCAGACTTAAAATCACTGAAACAAGGTCTTTCAATTTAGCTAATAAAAAAGGGGGGCTAAAATTCGTGATATAACCACTTTAAAGGTGACGACTGCTATGGAAGTCAAAACGTCAGTCAACATCAATAACTGTAAAAACGTAAATGGTTTGAACCCGGACGTATCGTTACATGTTTCTAGGTATAGATCATCATGGTTAGTAGAGTCCTGAGAAAGTCCACTTGACATTAGAGGTGACGACTGCTAAGGAAATCAAAACGTTAATCAACATCAATAACTGTAATAACGTAAATGGTTTGAATCCGGGCGTATCGTTACATGTTTCTAGATGTAGATCGTCATGGTTAGTAGAGTCCTGAGAAAGTCAACTTGACTTTAAAGGTGACGACTGCTAAGGAAGTCAAAACGTCAGTCAACATCAATAACTGTAATAACGTAAATGGTTTGAACCCGGACGTATCGTTACATGTTTCTAGATGTAGATCGTCATTGTTAGTAGAGTCCTGAGAAAGTCAACTTGACTTTAAAGGTGACGACTCCTAAGGAAGTCAAAACGTCAGTCAACATCAATAACTGTAATAACGTAAATGGTTTGAACCCGGACGTATCGTTACATGTTTCTAGATGTAGATCGTCATTGTTAGTAGAGTCCTGAGAAAGTCAACTTGACTTTAAAGGTGACGACTCCTAAGGAAGTCAAAACGTCAGTCAACATCAATAACTGTAATAACGTAAATGGTTTGAACCCGGACGTATCGTTACATGTTTCTAGATGTAGATCGTCATGGTTAGTAGAGTCCTGAGAAAGTCAACTTGACTTTAAAGGTGACGACTGCTAAGGAAGTCAAAACGTCAGTCAACATCAATAACTGTAATAACGTAAATGGTTTGAACCCAGACGTATCGTTACATGTTTCTAGATGTAGATCGTCATGGTTAGTAGAGTCCTGAGAAAGTCAACTTGACTTTAAAGGTGACGACTGCTAAGGAAGTCAAAACGTCAGTCAACATCAATAACTGTAAAAACGTAAATGGTTTGAACCCGGACGTATCGTTAATTGTTTCTAGATGTAGATCATCATAGTTAGTAGAGTCCTGAGAAACTCCACTTGACATTAAAGGTGACGACTGCTAAGGAAATCAAAACGTCAGTCAACATCAATAACTGTAATAACGTAAATGGTTTGAACCCGGACGTATCGTTAATTGTTTCTAGATGTAGATCATCATAGTTAGTAGAGTCCTGAGAAAGTCAACTTGACTTTAAAGGTGACGACTGCTAAGGAAGTCAAAACGTCAGTCAACAACAATAACTGTAATAACGTAAATGGTTTGAACCCGGACGTATCGTTAATTGTTTCTAGATGTAGATTATCATAGTTAGTAGAGTCCTGAGAAAGTCCACTTGACATTAAAGGTGACGACTGCTAAGGAAGTCAAAACGTCAGTCAACATCAATAACTGTAATAACGTAAATGGTTTGAACCCGGACGTATCGTTAATTGTTTCTAGATGTAGATCATCATAGTTAGTAGAGTCCTGAGAAAGTCAACTTGACTTTAAAGGTGACGACTGCTAAGGAAGTCAAAACGTCAGTCAACAACAATAACTGTAATAACGTAAATGGTTTGAACCCAGACGTATCGTTACATGTTTCTAGATGTAGATCGTCATGGTTAGTAGAGTCGTGAGAAAGTCAACTTGACTTTAAAGGTGACGACTGCTAAGGAAGTCAAAACGTCAGTCAACATCAATAACTGTAAAAACGTAAATGGTTTGAACCCGTACGTATCGTTAATTGTTTCTAGATGTAGATTATCATAGTTAGTAGAGTCCTGAGAAACTCCACTTGACATTAAAGGTGACGACTGCTAAGGAAATCAAAACGTCAGTCAACATCAATAACTGTAATAACGTAAATGGTTTGAACCCGGACGTATCGTTACATGTTTCTAGATGTAGATCGTCATGGTTAGTAGAGTCCTGAGAAAGTCAACATGACATTAAAGATGACGACTGTTAAGGAAGTCAAAACGTCAGTCAACATCAATAACTGTAATAACGTAAATGGTTTGAACCCGGACGTATCGTTACATGTTTCTAGATGTAGATCGTCATGGTTAGTAGAGTCCTGAGAAAGTCAACATGACATTAAAGATGACGACTGTTAAGGAAGTCAAAACGTCAGTCAACATCAATAACTGTAATAACGTAAATGGTTTGAACCCAGACGTATCGTTACATGTTTCTAGATGTAGATCGTCATTGTTAGTAGAGTCCTGAGAAAGTCAACTTGACTTTAAAGGTTGCGACTGCTAAGGAAGTCAAAACGTCAGTCAACAACAACAAAAACATTCCTTCTCAAGACTCTACTAACCTGGACGATCTACATCTACAAACATGTGAAAAATTGACATTAGATAAATCATTGGAAGTCAAACAACATATTTCCACCAAAGGTTTTTTCGAACCTTCTACGCTGATCGATTTAGCAACGTTCTCTCAACTGTGTCGTTTTTTCATATTTCCCCAATCCTTTGGGGTAACCATTACCTCTGTAGGATTTGTAGCACTTCAAGAGGACAGCATATTGATATTTACTGTCTCGATTCAGAGACAAATCGTTCGTTCGTAGGGCCGTACTGCCACTGTAGGATTCCAATGGAATATGAATTTCAACAATCGCTTGCAACTAAAAAATACGTCAAACATGTCAAATACATCGTAAATATGAGTGGACAACAATTAATAAGAATTTATAAAATTTCAATGTTGCCAGTGAGGTGCCAGGTGTGAATCGAATTCTAAATATAAAGATAAGATCCTAAAAGATCGGGTTTGAGAAAGCCATAAGCATTTGATTTTTTCAATATCTGTTTAAAAAAGCAAGCGACGTTTCGTCTTGACTCAAGACATCTCAGACTAATTACATAGACTTACTACAATACTCAAAAGTTTCTGTTTATTTTTTTTACTTTGCTGTGTGCCCTTTTACAGGAAGCAACTATCTATAACTCCCTTTTTTCTCTTCAGATCTTAAAAACTCTTAAATTGGTCTTTCGAATAGTTGGGAGGGAGGGAAGAATGCACGACCCCCTCAGCTCTTTTCATGGTAAATTTCCCCCCATTACTTAACCCCCCCCCTTATATCTTGTACAATCTTTCTTACATTTCCTTACAATACACAATATCAGTTTACACTGTAAGTACACAGCCACACAAAACTCACACTTTAACTATCTAAATACCCTTACGAAAATTATCAATAGGATCTTATTAGAATTCCAATAGGAATATAAGATTCCTGTAGGAAATCCTATAGGAAGGCAGAGTGAATTCATTTTTATTCCGATTCCGATAGGAAATATATTAAGAAAATGGCGGCAATTTTAAAGCCTATAGGAATATTTAAATTCCTGTAGGAAATCCTATAGGAAGGCAGAGTGGAATTCATTTTTATTCCGATAGGAAATATATTAAGAAAATGGCGGCAATTTTAAAGCCTATAGGAATATTTAAATTCCTGTAGGAAATCCTATAGGAAGGCAGAGTGGAATTCATTTT